ACATGTTAGCCTCATAATGCTTTTCACAAATAAACAATAACTTTTTTTTTATTTGGGACCTAAGGCTTTCATCAACTACTCTATCTTTAGTAATAATATTCAAAACTTTTATTCTCCATTCTTTGTTGAAATCATCATCAGAGATGGTATTTTAAAAAGTGAAACACCTTTATTTCTTCGAGAAGTACCACAGCCAAAAATGGAGCAATTAGCACCAGGCATTTGCAAATAACAAGGTTAAATAAATAACTTTTTTGTAAGTATTGTTTTTAACGCGTCTTTGTTTACAAAAAGTGTGCACTCATTGGTAGACTGGGTTCTAAAAAAATGCTAACAAAAAGATAAACAATAGCGCTTTTTAACTGGCCAGACTATGTATTTTATGACTATGATGTTCCATTTACTTTGTGATGATACAATAATGCTCTGTGGAACACAACGCCTTGGTTGGATATGGACTGTATTGACGTAATGAAACACTTGTTGTATTTCACTTCTTGTATTGATGTTCTTCGATAAAACACTTTGATAAAACTCACTTCGATAAACTGTCTAGATAATCTGATTCATTAAATTCCATATACTGACTGAATTACATTTTTTCAATGCTTCTGGAAGCTTCTGGATGCTTCTGTATATTTCTGGATACTTTTGGATGCTTCCAGATGCTTCTTCTGGAAACTTATGGAAGCTTCTGCATGCTTCTGGAAACTTCTGGAAACTTCCTTTAATTATTAAAAAACTTATGTGGCGTTGACACGGACCAGACTAAAGAAAATGAAACAAACCAAAAAAGTTGCACTTGTTTTGTCCACTGCAAAATGGCACTTGTCAACGAAATTCTGCCTGTGTACTGTCACTTGTCAGCTGATTACTCATGTCATGGCATGACTCCAGACTCCTGAACTGTTTGATGTGGTAGTATAGCTCATTACGTTTTTCAGACATGTAAAATTAGGAACACTTTTTAGCATTGTTCGATGTTGGTTGCAAATGTTTTGTCCAATACTGTATATATATTTATATATATTTATATCTATATATATCTATATCTATATCTATATATATCTATACCTATATATATCTATATTTACCTATATCTATATCTATATCTATATATATCTATCTCTCTTTCTCTCTCTCTCTCTACATATATATATATATATATATATATATATATATATATATATATATATATATATATATATATATATATATATATATATATATATATATATATATATATATATATATATATGACAAATCAACTAATATGTACAGAGTATCTAAAGATAAGTAAAACCACCTTTTAATGAACGCCATAACATCTACGTATAAAAAAGCTGATCATAATCTAAACCATAAAATAAATAAGGAAAGTAAAGAAATTTTAACCAACCATGAAGTTGTTTACAAAATTGAGTTAAATGGTACTTCTAATTGCTTCATCACTCTCAAAGACCACAAAGTAAACTTTTTAAATAACCCCACCGTTCGCCTGTTAAACCCAGCAAAAAACAAAGTAGGACGTATTTCCAAAACTGTAATCTCAAAAATCAATGCTACATCAAGAAAAAAGCTCTGCTTAAACCAATGGCAAAGCTCGCAAGATGTTTTACATTGGTTTCACGGTATTAATGAAAAACACCTCTACACATTTTTAATTTTCGATATAACTGACTTTTACCCATCGATTAATGTAAAACTACTTAGCGACGCAATAGAGTTTGCTGGTCAGCACCTAGTTATAAATTAAGAAGATAGAAAATTTATTATGCACGCGAGAAAATCTTTAATCTTTACCAATGGCGATTCTTGGATTAAAAAACCGGAGAATTATTTGATGTAACTATGGGTGCTTATGATGGTGCA